TTGAGTATTATTTATTTACTTAATTTTATCAAATAAATTTAATGTGAGGATAGAATCACATTATATATATTATCCTCTTTATACATAAATTTTTGTTCTACAATATTTTAATTTTTTCGCTATGTTTATCTATAATACGAATATTAATTGTATTCTTTTTTTAAATTGATGGTGTTGAATTAGTTCAAAGGTTAAACAAAGAAGTTTTTTTAATATATGTCATAAATCTTAGTCTTTTATTCTATTGATCAGAATTATTTTATTAATTGAAATTATTAATAATATTTTTGAGTATTATTTTGATAGTTTATTCTATTTCTTAAGTTAATTTATAGTATAATTAGCCTCACACTATCTAAAGTTTCCTCTCTTTATATATTATTGTGCATTTTATGTTATTGTAGTTTGCTTTTTTTAGATCGTATTTTACTATAACTCAAAGAGTGATATATTTTATTCTAAATTTTAAGGACTAATACTTAATTCAGCTGCTCCTTCAATTTTCTATCAAGCTCTAACTTTTTTCTATCCTATTCACATAACAATATCCTCTGATTTTCTAAACATTTCTTTGCTACTTCAATGTACCGATTGTTTGAACCTTTAATTTCCTCTTCTTTCTTAACCGTATATAATTATTTTACTATATATATATAGAGAGAGAAGAAACTACTATCCATTCAATTTGAATTTTTAGTTTTTTATTTTATTTTAAAATAATTTTAAAACTTCAACTTGAAAATGCTCCATAATTTGAATGGGTAGTTTTTTTTATATTTTTTTTTATTATAGATAATTATAAGATATTTATATTTATTAATTCGAATAGAGTAACTAATTTAAAATTCAAAATATTTTTTAGTTAGAAAGCTAATTTATTTTGTCTTAATAATGTCACTTAGCTTTTTGTAGTTATGCCACTTGACTTAATGGGATTACTTTTTCTTCTACTTTTAATTATAGATAGATATTAGAAAGAAACTACTATCCATTCCATTTGAATTTTTAGTTTTTTATTTTTTCTTTTTTTTATTTTTTTATTTTAAAATAAGCTTAAAACTTCAATTTGAAAGTACTCCATAATTTGAATAGGTAATTTTTTTATATATTTTTTTGTTTTCTTATTATAGATAATTATAAGATATTTATATTTATTAATTCAAATAGAGTAACCAATTGATTCAATATTTAAAATTTAAAATATTTTTTAATTAGAAAGGTAGTTTATTTTGTCTTAACAATACCACTTGGCTATATGTAGTTATGCCACTTAAGCTTAATGAGATGCTTTTTCTTCTACTTTTAATTATAGATAGATAGTATTTGTTATTTTAATTTTCTTGGGTACCTCTTAAAAAGACATATAATAATCTTAATCATAAGACTATTTGTTTAAATTATCACTTATCCCTCTTTGAAACATCACACTTATATAATATTCCACTAATTAAAATAGTAAGGATAAGTTTGGGAAAGAAGTGGAGTAATAAATGATTCTTGTTTTTATAAAACGTTTGCCCCGAGTCCCAACAACTAAATTTGGGACGGAAGGAGTAATGCTGGGTGAAATTGAAATGCATATTTCCTCCCTAAGATTTGACTAAATGTGACAACATTTAATTCAACAAGTACGGGTCTACTCCAACTTCATGCTAAGCACGTCAAGGGACCAAGAAGCCCACCTCACCCTTTGGAAAATCCAAGATAAAAACAGATTCAATTAAAATGATTGGCATGACCTTTAAGCCATTAACTTTGGTCACAAGACTCACAAGTCACAACATATATAAATAACATATCCCAAATCACATACAGAACTTAGCACTAAACTTCCCACAAACATTAGAAATTTCCCCTGTTTCTTTCCCCTCCCCAAAGCCATTTTTGGAACAAAGTAACCATCAAAGATGATGCGTGTACGTGTAAAATTACCAGGATTTTGCATGAATAGAACTGTAGTCCATGTTCGACCCCGCGGTTCTCTTTGTCAACCATACAAGAAGACGCTTAGTTTGGTCAAATCCGATGATAACAAGTCTGAATTTTCCAGCAAAAATAGCATTGAGATGAACTACAACAGCGATGAGTCTAGGCCGGATTCCGACACTAGTAATAGAGTCATGGTTGTGGTTGATCAGAGTATTGAAGCCAAAGGTGCTCTTCAATGGGCACTTACTCATACTGTTCAAACCCAGGATACTATTATTCTTCTTTATGTAACCAAGCCCTCTCAACAAGGTATGTAAATATTTAGTTTACTCTTTCTTTTTTTAACCCAAAAACACCACATTTCTTTCGTTATACTAATATCCTTTTTCTTATTATTTGTGTAGATGAAAACACTAATCAGAGGGCCTATGAACTTGTTAACTCCCTGAAAAGTATGTGCCAAACAAAGAGACCAGGGGTGAGTTGAGTTCTGAAATTGCTTTGCATCTGAGTTTTTGATTGATTGGACACGGAAGCCATAAAACTATTGTTTTCACCTAAGAAAGCTGTAGAAAATGTGCAAGTGGTGTTAATTAGATGCAGAGGGCAGAGTCAGTCCAAATATGTCCGTACCAAATCACATGGAAAGTTACTAACAAACCTAACTAATTAGTGCTGTCAAGTATTTCTAGTTGGCCTAAGCCAACTGGCCAAATCTTATTAGGAAAAACAATCTTTTTCTCTAGGCAATACTTCAACATGACAAGTAAACTCCAACTTTTTTTGGATTCATGCTAGCATGTGTTTACTTGCTGCTAAAAAAATTGTCTCATTATTCAGTCATTCAATCAGCGGTGTGTGTGAGAGAGAGAGAGAAATGCCATGGACAAAATTCATTTGATTTCAATCTTCATGTTACTTAGATGCAAATTCAGAATTTAAAGTCAATTAGCTTAGAATAAATTTTGTCTTACTATAATTTTACATTTTATTTTTCGCATATGTATACCTGGTTCAAAGGCGATGGGTTCAATTGAACACACAAAACCAACCCTAAATCTGCTTCGTCTTTTAATTGCGATGATTTGTATGTTAACAGGTCCAAGTGGAGATAGCAGTGCAAGAAGGGAAGGAAAAAGGTCATGTAATTGTTGAAGCAGCCAAGCAAAGAAAAGTCTCATTACTCGTGTTGGGACAAAGAAAAAGATCGATAATGTGGCGCCTGCGCAAGATTTGGTCAGGGAAAAAGTCAAGAGGCAAAGTAGTACAACACTGTATTCAGAATGCAAAGTGCATGACAATTGCTGTGAGAAGGAAGAGCAGGAAGTATGGAGGATATCTTATTACTACTAAGCGTCACAAGGATTTTTGGCTCTTAGCTTAATCCAATTGTTTTACTGTAATTTGATTCAATGTTTGGATTTATGGTAGTACTAAACAAAATCTCTGTACGTGGGACTGAGTGAATCTTTTCAGTTTTCATTCTGTTGTGCTGGGCACGAAGCAAGCAGCTGCTTTCTACATCAGATAAATGAATTGTACAAAACAAAATATGAGAGGAACTAATTTTAGTTGAACATAGATGTTCTCTATTCTTCTGATCAAGAAATAGCATATAGGAAAAGTCAATTGCCTGCTTATTTGCCTTACGATGAAAGCATAAAAAATTTCCATTTTTGATGGTTCGTTCTTGCAGATCTAATTAAATCCTTCATAAACTTAAGCTAATTTTGGTTTCGTAAATTTTCTACATACTATCTGTAACTTTTTCATACTCATTGAAGTGCGGCTCTTTCCCGGATCCTGCGTGAACGCGGGATGCTTCGTACACCTAGTTGTCCTTTCTGTATGTAACTTTTCTAAAATGTATGTTGTGCGAACATGTTAGAAAGACATTTGTATGTCTGATTATTTGTACAGGAAAACAATGATGATATGACATATAATATTATCAAGAATCTAAAATGCTTTAATTTGAGCTCCAGAGAAGATGACATTTCATATTTAAACAACAAGAGGAGACAATTACATACCCAAAAATATGTCACAGATCCTTCCAGTGTTGTTCAAACAAAACAATAGAAAAAATGTTTGTCTTAGTCACATGTCTTTTGAAAGGCTCGCTCACTACTAGAAAATTAACAAGTCCAAGCTAGTTCAACTTTGTAGCAGTGATGGAGCTAACACTGAAAGACAACAATCTAGAGAGTAGAGAGATCCATAATTCACAATGGAATCATGCACATTATTATGTGGAATCGCCGAGGCGCTAATAATAAAGGTAGAGCTACTATGAAACCTGTGCTAGCAGCCATATTGTAGATTGTGCTACAAGATCATTGTGGGATGGCTACAAGACTTCGGTTTTTCACTAACCTAGCAAATACAAGTTAAGCTTAGTAGACCACTAAGGTTTGTCCTACCGTCGTAAACGAGGGAGATTCAGCTCTGATACCATATTTGTCACGGTCCAAACCCATGGAATGTATTATACGCTTTGGGTCTAGGCACACACGAATTTGTCTTTCTGGGCTACACCACATCGAGCCCAAAAGCGCGCGTACCATGTGAATTTGTATTATGACTTATAAAGTTCTTCATTTTCCTCTCCTGTTCCGATGTGAGATTCGCTTAAGGTGATATGTGCACCCCTTATTCAGAAGCTTGTCAGCCTAGAAGCCTACCCTTATCGGTCCTGCTTAACCCGCCCCCATAGGCCTGCCCTCTGTCACGGGCATCACAAATTTCCTTTCAATTGATTTAAACATTATTTTCATTTGAAAGTTGGGAGGTTTCAAAATATTTGACATCATTTAATTTTTATACTACTATTTTCAATTTATTTTAGAATTTTAATTCATTAATCTATCTCATTTTAACTTTGATGTGATAATTCATTTTATCTTTGTGAGTTCGAGTGAGCCCAAGAGTAAGGTGGGGAGGTCTTGGAGGGAGGGAGCCGAGAGTCCATCGAAAACAACCTCTGATAAGGTCTGCGTACACACTACCGTTTCGTAAAATATATTCTTCCATCAGTTGAGTTTCAACTCTCAGCACAAGGATGACCGGCGAGACATTGTAAAGGTTTCCACTACACAGCACAGGGGCTTTGCTTGTAAACACAGTGGCACATGCTGTTGTTTCATAATTCATGTGCTGGTCCTGCTCAGTGCCCCTCCTTTATTAGATTTGTTCAATTGCCTCCTTTGCTACGTGAACCAAAAATAGACCCTTCTTTCCCCCTTAAAAAGTTGTCCTCTTCACATTCAACCCAATCTTCTGTTACTCTTCAACTCGCCTTCACTTAGCTTTTCTCCTATACCCATTTTTTGTATCAGAACTCGCTTTTAAAATCTCATTAAGGCTTGATAAAAGGGTCTTTTTTTTTTTATGCCTTTGGCCAAGACCATTTTGGCATCCCACGTTGCTTAAGCTCATTCTTTATTCCGTTGCCTTTATTGATCGAATCTGACCAATGAGTTTGCTGCAATACTCTTGATTGAATATAGGGACGGGTTTAATTAAATTCTTGATTTGGGTGTCAAAAGATTTGGGCTTTTTATCTGTTCCCACTTGTGGATTCAATCTCAGGGGATAGGTTGATTTCATTTCCTGTGGANAATCTCAGGGGAAGGTTGATTTCATTTCTTGTGGGAGAGAAGGGTAAAAGATGCGGCGGCGGGCGGCCGATTATCGGCGCCCGGTTCGAAGGAGGCTATCTTGTTGGATCTGGTCGCTTCTTGGAATATTCACAATTGCAGGTTTCGTTTTGTTTGTAGTTCATCATCACCAGGATCACGTCGAACAACCTATTTTGGTAAGCCTGGAACATTCTAGACCCAGATCATTATTGGTTCTCGTAATTTTTCTTGCTTTGGCAATCATATATAATAGTTCAAGCTCAATGAGCTTGCTTTTTGATATAGTAGAAATGTTCCTTCTTTTTTCTAGGGAGTTTTATGATCTGAGAATGTGCTCTCTTTTATGCTAGACATGTTTGTTTTCTGGTAGCTTTCTAGGATGGTAAATCTGCACTTCATTTTCAATGCATTAACATGTGTGATGACTTGTTCTCTTAGTTTATATAACTTCAATTCTAATCTATTTATGAACTTTGTGGGGCCATTCCGCATTGGTTCTCTATCTTATGTGCCCTAAGCCAGAATCTGGAACATTTGGATGACTGCGATTTTTGCATTCCTTTGCGAAAGTTGTTTCATAAGCAAGTGACTTCAGGGTAGCTCAAGCCTTTACTTTCAACAGCAAGTGACGATATTTTATTGAGAACTACTCAACTAGATCTTAGTTCTTCTCTGCCCTTTGAAAGTTTTTCAATTGGTTTGCACTGACAGGGGTAAAAATATCTATTATACACATCTGTATAAGATATGCTTAAACGGAGCGATATGGCCAGTGAGGATTTATATGGCCGATCCCTACTTGCTTGGGGTTAACGCGTAGTTGTACACATATGTACTCAATTTATGTAGCCACGCCCACTTCTTTATATGGTTGTCTTGGGGAGGAGGGGGAGCGTAATATATATGACGATGAGATTCAAGCAAATGCTAGTGGCTTGTTGTGGCTTCTTTTTACCTTTGTCTTTCTCAATTTGTATAGTAGTTAACAAATGAAAAAGGTGAATAGAAGTTATGTACAGTAGCGTGAGACAAGGAGAGAATACATATAAGGTGATTTTCCAACACATGCCAATATGCTGTGGTCACGAACCTCGGGAGAAGGATTTTACTTGTTATCTCAGAGAGATAAAGGTTCTTGGACTTCAGAATCTGCTGCTGAAGCACGACAATTAAAACCAGACTGAAAATCTTCTTTAAGCACTCAGAACTGTGTCACTTGATCTCTATATAATTGTTATTAGAAGTGCCTATGGGGGACTGGAAGCCTGGTTTTCTAGATCTTGTTGATAAATAATTTACTTTTTTTTGTCTGCTCTGATCTTTTTTACTGGAGATGTGCTTGTGTCAATGGTGACTTTTGATCTTCTTGATTCTGCTTACCCCTACCCTATAAAGGTAGAGAGGCTAATTCCGATAGACCCTCGGCTCAAGGAACAATAAAAATAAAGCAACAAGCAATAGCAGCATCAATGTAATAGGGTAATGGAAGCGAATGACACAACAAGTAATAAAGAACTAGGAATAAGAGAATACAAGTATAGACTGACAGCAACCTACCACCAATTTCTTATTTGTCCATCGCCAGCTACTAATTCCTGCTCCCAACATAGCCAGTTAATACAAAATTTGATCATTTACTTGTCAGAGTTTCTTTTAGCAGAAACAATTAAATCTTTTATTTAAATAAAAGTATGCACAAGCATAGAATGTGCTATTGTGTTTCTTGTAGTTGGCACATCAATTTGATTTAACAGGTTTGTCTAAGTTCTTTTAATTAGATTTTTTGAAAGTGATTGCCCATCTGATTCATTACTGGTTTAGAGCAAGGACTTAACAATATGTAAAAGTAACTCAAACTATTTTAAGGTCCTTTTGAAGTGCACACTGTAAACAAAGAAGGATTGAAATTATGGATTAGTAGGTACAAAGTGTTATTGTTGATTAGCAGTTCTATTTTTTGTGATCTGTCTTAGTGAGAAATGAGAATTGTGATCCCATTTCCCTATACTTTTTTGGTAGGTCTTATTTGCCAAAGTATTGGATTTCACAGATATAGTTGTCTTTCAGCGGATAAATTGCTGATTTCTATCTTATTTTATTTTACCTCTAAAATACTTAGATAATCAAGTGGCTTAAATTTTTCTGTTGTTCCAGGAAAGTGAGTCCAGGAATGAACAGGTTGTGCATGAGCGTCTGAATCTCACACAAGAAATGTCAAGTGTTAATTCATACGCCAGACAATTAGCAGAGCAAATGACACTAGCCAAAGCTTACATCATTATAGCAAAAGAGCACAATAACCTTCATCTTGCGTGGGAGCTAAGTTCAAAGATAAGAAGTTGTCAATTTTTACTATCAAAGGCGGCAATGAAAGAAGAACCCATTTCTCTAGATGAAGCTGAGCCGATCATACGAAGTCTATCTTCCCTCATCCTTAAGGCGCAGGATGCCCATTATGATATTGCTACAACTATGATGACAATGAAATCACATATTCAAGCTCTTGAAGAGCGTGCTAATGCAGCATCTGTTCAGAGTATGATGTTTGGACAGTTAACAGCTGAGTCCCTGCCCAAAAACCTGCACTGCCTAGAAATCAAGCTCATAGCTGACTGGCTTACAAGAAAGTCGCTGCAGGATTTTGCAGATGAGAGGAGAAACTCACCCCGTTTAGTGGACAATAACTTGTATCACTTCTGCATATTTTCAGATAATCTGGTGGCTGTTTCAGTAGTTATCAACTCAACCGTGGCCAATGCTGATCACCCTAAGCAGCTTATTTTCCATATTGTAACAGATTCAATACACTACGGACTGATGCAGGCTTGGTTTCTGAACAATGACTTCAAAGGTTCTACAGTAGAAGTACAGAATATTGACAACTTCGCTTGGTTGAATTCGTCTTATTCTCCTGCTGTAAAACAGCTATTGGCGGCAGACTCCAGAAAGTATTATTTTGACGGATCTATGGATACAAGTATCGAGCCAAAGTTCCGGAATCCGAAGTATATATATTTGTTGAATCACCTTCGGTTTTACATTCCAGAGATGTACCCCCAGTTGGAGAAGATTGTCTTTCTTGATGACGACGTTGTAGTTCAGAAAGATCTGACACCTCTCTTTTCACTGGATTTGCATGGAAATGTGAATGGAGCAGTGGAAACTTGTCTTGAAGCTTTTCATCGTTATTACAAGTATCTCAATTTCTCAAATCCACTCATAAGCTCTAAGTTCGATCCCCAGGCCTGTGGATGGGCATTTGGTATGAATGTTTTTGATCTGATTGCGTGGAGGAAAGCAAATGTTACTGCTCGATATCATTACTGGATAGAACAAAATGATGATAGGACGATTTGGAAGCTGGGAACCCTTCCACCTGGGCTATTAGCTTTTTATGGTATGACGGAGCCACTTGATCGGAGGTGGCACGTGTTGGGATTAGGCTATGACGCGAATGTTGACAATCGCCTGATAGAGAGTGCAGCGGTGATTCACTTCAATGGAAACATGAAACCATGGCTTAAGTTGGGCATTAGCAGGTATAGGCCTTTGTGGGAACGGTATGTAAACCAGACGCACCCATACCTTCAGGATTGCGCTACACATTGAAATGTTATACTTTTCGAGTACTGAGTCCCCATTCTTAAAGTTCTAGGATTGTATTTTACATCATTGTAGAGTTAGAAATAGACAATTTTGCCCTAGTAGAGATTCTTACCTAGTCTTCTTTCAGTTAAGTAGAGTGAAAAAGGAATATGATATTATATACTAGAGCAATTCTCTGTCTCTACAAATGGTAGAAAATATTTTTCAAACAATTTTGTAATAATCTTGTTCCTTTGATCACATCTAGGTAAATATTTATCTTCGTTCTTTTGTTGATCTATACGCGAATCCAATTATTTTAGTTGCTGTAACATATAAGTTCTGCAACATATGTAAGTGCTTTATTTTGAATATTTATGATATTATGCATCAGCGCGACTACTATGTTTTTCTTGACGTTCATTGTTTCTCCATTGGTAACCAGTCTCAACAAATTTCTTTACTTCATTAGTTCATTACTTCGATTTTAGAATAGAGGCCAAACCACTGACTGACAAAACTTTGCAGGAAATTCAATTGATGGTCCTGCAATCCATATGTTTCAGGATTAGGTATTTGAGCAATATATTAGAATTCTTGGTTTTGCAGACCCGGAACTCTAAAAATGAAATAGAAGCCTTGCACTTCTAGTAGGAAATTCTCAGATATCCCACCTTTGAAAGAGAAGAAAGCTGATTCTACTCTTATTGGGTTCACTTGTTAAGGAAACTGGAAATTGAAGATCGTACCAGGTCTGATCATGTCACATTTCAATAATGTTGCAATGCACTCTAAAACAAATTACTCGTGTGTGTGCTGAATACGAAATCAAATGATTAATTGATATTCATTGAAATCAGAATATGATATTCATTGATAATTATTAAAAATAGGCAATCAATCAGATGACCAGAATCAAATTATGAAAATAATTGCTACAATATATAGACTAGTACGTCACATTTCAACTGTGATAGAGAACGGACAAAGAAGAGGAAAGAAACACTTCCTGCGCCAAAATAATAAATAAAAAAAATGCACCATCTTACTCCAAATATCTTCGTCAAAGTCCCTCGTGTTTCCCGAATATGTTACCATGGTTTATAACCATTAACCAGAGGTAAAGAAACCTTAGTGCAGCTCATTGACACGTATTGTCCGCTTTGGGCCTAGTTCAGCACGAATTTATTTTTCAGGTTACAGTCCCGAAAGCGCATGTAAGCGCGCATATCATATGAGTTTGTGTCATGCCTTATAAAATTTTTCGCTTTCCTATCTCATTTCGACGTGAGATTCCCTGCATAATATGCTGTCAACCTAAAAAGTAAAAGATGAATCCTATTTCGATGTGGGAGTCGCCGGTCTTGATTGACCCGCTCTCCAAAGCTTGTCCTATAAATGTAGCAAGAGTTTCTACACCCTTTTACTCCATTAACTCAATGGCAAGCTTACTCTCTACCCAAAGCTCTCCTTTACTCACAAATGGTGACACCAATGAAACAAGCCACAAAAATCACCAAGATTTTCCTGATATAATTCTCTCTGAGCTTCCAAAAGAAAGAGGTTGGTTGAGTGGGCATGTTCACCAATACAAAGAATTTTGGTATCCCACAGGAATACTCCACGGTCTTATAGCTCTTCAGCAACACTTTAAGCCAAAGCCAAATGATGTCTTATTAGCCAGTTACCCAAAATCTGGCACAACATGGCTCAAGGCCCTTCTTTTTGCCATTACAAACCGAACAAAATATGATTATAAAACACACCCTTTGCTCTCTTCAAATCCACATGAGTTAGTACCCCAGTTAGAGGCCTATGCATTTAAGCACCCAACAAATCCAACACCAAACACTTCTCTTATGCATTCTCATCTTGCTTTCAATTCTTTACCAGAGTCTATAGTAGGTGGTGAAGACTCCAACTCCAAGTGCAAAATAGTATACGTGTTTCGTGACCCAAAAGATGTGTTAGCTTCTTGCTGGCATTTTGTGCAGAAATTAAGACCCAAAGATGTGCCTCCCATTTCTCTGCAAGAAGCTTTTGATCAATTTACTAAAGGGTGTTCCCCCTTTGGTCCATTTTGGGATCATGTAATGGGATATTATAAAGCCAGTTTAGAATTTCCAAAGAAGGTGTTTTTCTTGAGGTACGAGGACTTGAAAAAAGATCCAATCTTTCATGCAAAGAAATTAGCAGAGTTGTTGGGACAGCCTTTTTCTTTGGAGGAAGAAAGTGAAGGCATTGTAGAGAAAATAACAGAACTTTGCAGCTTTGAGAAGCTAAGTAGTTTGGAGGTGAATAAAGATGGTACACACACTGGATTTTTTATCCCTACTATTGCAAACAACATATTTTTCAGACAAGGCAAAGTGGGTGATTCCAAGAACCATCTTTCAGAGGAGATGATTAAGGTTATGGATGAAATCACAAAACAAAAGTTGGTTTTTGATTTGATGAACACATCTTTTTCTCCCCAACAAAATGGTAAAGGGATTGAGTCGGACAAGAATCATTGCGACTAGCACGTATTTTTTTCATTAGCAAAATTTCCAATAAATTGAATTTCCTTTTACTCCTCTTTACCTTTTTGTTTATCCCCTCACTAGGGTAGCTTGTAGTTCGTTCTTGAATCCAATAAATGTGGCTTATTCTCAAGTTGTGAATTGTGATAGGTGGCAATCCTTTATCTCCTTCCTGGTGAATCATTTTGGTCTAAGGAAAAGATTGAGGTTCTCGAATGTGAAAAAGGGGCTGTTTATTTGCTCAAAATTTAATACCCCTTCAATTTCACTTGTAAGTGCTACATAGTTTAATTAGATACGAATTTAAAAAAATTAAAGTTCTGAAATTTTTAATCTTTCCTCTTTCTCCTTCTTCCTCACCCCTTATCCTTCCTCACTATGGAACCACCAAAATCCTTCACCAAATAGCCCCAAGTTTTAGATATAGACTCCATAAATTGGACCCAACAAAATTCAGCAACACCCACTCGAAATAGTAGCGCCATTTATCGATAATGGTGTTTGCTGGATTCTTCACCACCATGAGTGTGTAATCACGTTTTCAACCTTTAACCAATATTAACAAATGAATTTTAGTAGCTATTGCTCAAGCATACTGGATTCGAACCAACAATAAACCCAACAAATTTGATTTTCCGATTTTAAGTTCTCGGTTCTTCATGGCTTTTAAAGTGACAGAAAATAACGTAAAAGAGAAGAAAGAGTATGCTTTAAACATCACAAAGATTGAAGATTAAGAGGGAAAGAAGAAAGGAGTTCTGCATTTCATGCTTTTTAATTTTGAAACACAATCGTGAAGCCTTGCACGAGAAAAATGACTTATAGGCTGTTTGGTCTTGGAGAAATAAGCTTATTTTAAAATTTTATTTTTTTAAAATTGATTTTAAAAAAAGTACTTTTGGAGATAGCAATTTGTGTTTGTCTAATCACTCTTAAAAGCACTTTTGAGCAATAATTTATATTTGGTCAAGTTTTTCAGAAGGTGCTTTTAAATATCAAATTACGAATAAGGACATGAATAGATTTACTTAATAGTTAATATTATAAGTAAATAAATAATCTTAAAAATTTGTTATTACATGCAATAATTAAATCTTTTTATTTTATTTAAGTAAAAAATAAAAATATAATTTAAAAGTACTTAATTCTTTTAATATAAGTTAAATATATTAAAAATTATTCAATAAATATAAAAGCATTCACCCCTAAAGTCACTATATATTAAAGTTATCCTAAAAATAATAAGAAATATTTATACATTAATATCCAAAGTATTAGGTTTAACGGTTATTTTGATATATACTTTATTTTGTTAAGGGTATTTTTGATAAGAAAAGTCAAAACTGCTTCTGCTTCTATTTTTGGGAAGAAACTATTTTTTTTTGCTTTTCAGAAACTGCTTCTGCTTCTTCCCAAAAATATTTTTTTTCATAAAAAAGTTTGGGCAAACATCTCAAATTAGGAAAAAAAAGTATTTTAAAATATATATATATTTTTAGCCTCTTGAGAAGCTTGGCCAAACAGGCTATTAGTGCATATAAATCCTGCTTTTTCTGATGTGGCGTTGGCATGTTACTGACAGGGTGATGACGTGGCACACGTGTAAAGCATCTCATGTTGTGAGAGTGATATAAGTGTTTCGGGAGAGAAAATAATTCACTTAGAAATGTGTGTAGGGGGATTCTGGACAAATTTAATACGTCTATGTATTTTGCCTATTTTAAAACGGTTTCATTCCTTTACTTTGCAAAAATAATTTCACTTTCTTATTGTTGACAGGCGAAATGAATTTGCACTGCCGACGATAATAGCGGTCTCTGAATGATTGCTCCTTGTGTCTCGTGAATATTTTGGATTGTAGCTAAACCAAACACTTTAAAAAATTGAAAAAACATTTTATGTCACAACGAATATCACGTTAATTTCTAACATTTTCTATCACGTTAATCTTTTCCAAAAGCGCAGAACCAACAAAATTGCACAGGAGAAAAAGACAACGAGATAGAACCAAGAGCAGGGGCACAGCTTTCTCACATTATGATGAGCTCTCCACTGTGCATTTATGAGAGTGGCAAAATAAAGGTCTGTTCTATCTTGTTAACAGGGATACCCACATTTTAGTTATTGTTCATAATTGCTTTTAAAATTGATTTGATCCAAAAGTTCAAACAGACTTTGTATCATGTTCCTTGCCCTGGTAACTTTCCCAAAAAGTAAAATAATGCTCTTAAAAGATAAGCTGAGCTTGATTTTCAAAGGCTAAACAAATCTATTTTATGATTGCAAAGCTCTCATTTATTTTGCAATGTCTTGAAACACAAAAGTAAGCTATGTGTACTACGTCAAATTTTTATAGGAAAATTCCTTTCTGCCGCACTCTTTTCGGCCACAATGGCCCAAATGGAGGTATTAATGTAAAATCACACTCAAATATAGGGTTTTTGCGCTAATTTTATACCAAAAATGTCCTTCCCGTTAGGTTTTGAATTCCTCTCCTTGAATCTCTCTCATCCATTGAATGCTTGTCTTCCCAATACATTTAAAATATCAAGCATGCAAACCCTATTTCCCATAAACATATTTTTTCATCTTTTTTTGTAGTATACGCGTATACATTTCAATTTATTCGTCAATATACATATACTTGATTGTGTATTTCGTTTATCTTTTGTATAATAAGGTGTTCAAAGTCCTAATATTTAAACAACCCTACATGGCCGAAAACAAAACCCTAAGGTATATTTCATCCCTCTTCAAAGCCCTAATACTTAAACAAACCTAATACTTGATTGTTTTTTTATCTTTTACTCACCTATGTTCTTCTAAGTGTGAGTGAATAGGTATTTCTACCACACTAATTTTTATATATAAATTTATAGTCTGACTCAAAGTTATAGATTCAACTGAACCTGTCATTAGAATACTACATCTATCCTTGTGTGTATCATTTCGTGTTTGACCGGACACAAGATATTCATTTATACGGGTACTTATTTAGAACCGGAGAAAATATTTCGATAAAGATATTATTGTATTAGTTTTCTAATTAGTGGAGCAAATCTGAAAAAATCATAATATGAGTCTTTTGACGTATTTGAGTTTGTATATTTCCATATGGTATATATGACATTGTCATTATGATCACAAAGTGGCTAAGTGCGTGAACTCACACAAGTAGGATCGATGTCATATTTTTTTGTAAAAAATATATGTTCTTCCAGTATTTGGAAAAAAAAAGATTCTTAATTAGCCTAATAATTTAACCACTGAAATTACTTACATTCTAGTTAGCCTAAAGAATCCTCCATTTTAGTTAGCCTAAAGAATCTTGTCAGTGAACGAACAACCTATTACTGGTACGACTATCTGGTTTGGGTTTGAATAGAGTTGTTGTCTAAACTAATGGTGTTAGTTGAATTGTATTAACTATTTCGGTTACCAAAATTGTATTGATAACTACAATTTTGAATTCCCATGTAGATATTGAATCTTGTTTACTTACAAAATTATTCACATGCCAACCATTTAACTTCTCAATGAAGCATTTACACCTCTTATTTACTCTTCCTAACTCTTTTGAATTCAAGATTGTTTGATCTTTTGAAATGATATAAAAAATAAGAAAAAAAGAAAGATACAGTTATAACAAAAAACACACGAGAGCTGGATGAAGATAGAAACTTGATATCATTCATAGTTCAATAGAAAATAAAAGTACACATACCATAACTGAATGAACTTAAAAATAAAAGCTAAAAAAAAAGAAAAAAGCAACACAAACATAACCTAAAAACTAATTAATTTCAACCGGATCTTCAGAAGTTCCTTGTCCTTTCACTTGCACATTGAAGACAACAAACAATGGTGCAATTTCAACCAACTCAAATTTAACGACCCAACCTCGCTTGATATCATTCTCCACCACAAAATTTTTCCAACCTTCTTCGTTCACCAATGTTCAATCCTACAAATCACTCTTTGCCACCATATTGAAGAAGCGCGGTGTTATTTGTTTCAGGAAGATGCTCGTAGATTCATTTTGGAATATGCTATAAACAGAAGAAAAAATATTAGTAATAACTTTTAACCCTAAACAATAAAACACAAAGCCACACTGCCGGAGGCATCAAAAATATACCGATGCATATATTTATCTAGTGTTAAGGCATCAAAAATAATAGTAAGAAACTCATTTAGCCCAAACTCATAAGCACTTCAAATATTGGATTATGCTCTTCCTCGTTATCATCAGAATAGGAGTAAGATAGGGATTGTTTGGCAGAACTGGGAGAGGAGTCCATAGTTGATTTTCTAGGGTTTGTGTAAGAGTGTGTGTTTATGTCTTTAGGGTTGTGTGGGTGAATGTGTATATATACATGGTCAACCGTTCAAAAAGGCATATTTGACCATAACGTTTAGTAAAATGCAGATTTGGAACCTAATTAAAATGTGTATTTTGCATATTTAGTCCCATTGTAATGTTAATTTTGACATCAGTTGTTAGATTTGGGACCTTATTAGCAATTTAATTATAAAATATTAATGAATTAAGTGTCCCTGTGTAATGTTTATTTTGACCTCAATTGTTAAATTATTTAATTCAAACCATAATAATAAGTAGATATTAATAGTAATCATATAAATCCATTGACTAAGGTTGTAGTCATATAACCTATGTTAATTATATCGTTGCGATTCATAATTATATTGATCGTTTATGTATTAGCCAATATATAATTTTATTCATTAAGGTCATACGTATCGGCCATTAGTTATTCATAGCAATAATATAAGTCCATTGACTAAGGTTGTAGTCATATACTACGCTAATATAAATTACATCGTTGCGGTTCATAGTTATATTGATCGTTTATGTAATAGCCAATATATAATTTCACTCATTAAGGTCAGACGTATCGGCCACTAGTTATTCATAGTCACTGTGTAATGTTTGTCACACCTCTTTTTTTCTGCGGGGATAGGGGATAAGGGAGTTTTTCTAATTTAAGTGACATTAATCGAAATGAGATTATTTATTTATTCAGAGTCGCCACTTGGGATAATTTATGGTATCCCAAGTCACCGGTTTATTTTAAATCCCAAATTGAGGAACTTTGACTCTGTTCAAAGTCTACGAAACCGGAAGACCGGGTAAGGAATTCTGTTAACCTGGGAGAAGGTGTTAGGCACTCCCGAATTTTGTAGTATTAGCACGGTCGCTTTAATCATATATGGCTTAATTAAATTATTTAATTATATATTTTAGAACCTATGTGCATTTTACCTTTTACCACTTTTAGATATGGCACTTATGGGTTTATCTTTGAAACGGATCACATGTGTGTGAATCCGTTTCATTCCGTGCGCTATAATCATGTCACACGTACGTGTACACAATTAGTCCCGCTTTATTAATATTAATATTGTTGGCCAAAGTCGCGCGAACACATACTTTGATTTATTTTGGGAAATCATAATCATGTCACGCGAACGTGTACACAATTACGAAAGTCGATTACACGCGTGCCTAAAGCATGGCTACGGTTATTTATGATTCTATTATCCTAAAATTTGGGATTCGCGTGCAAAGTCTAGATTTATGGAGTGCATTTTGTTGGGAAAGAGTATCAATTTAGCTTCTGACTTAGAGCATGCGTATGTTTAAATCTCAAAGGCTTGTTTCAAAATTAGTTAGTGAAATCCCATATCAAAATCATTTGA